TAGCAGATGTTGCGGAAGTGCCGTGCTTTTACAATGCTTTGGGCTGCCCGGGTGCCCTGCACATTGTTTTCAATGCACTGGAAGATGCCCTCAAGATGTGTGAGGACTGGAAACCCTTTGAGACGGAGCTGCGGGCCGTCAGCAAGGTTTTTGGTCACAAATCATATGTGGAGCTTGTCATCCAGTATTGCGTTGGCCTCACCCCAGCAGATGAAGCACATCTGAGATCCCTGCAAGTGCAGCTTCTGGATTGGCGATGGGAATCGATTGAGTATATTGCCAAGTTCTGGCATCGTGCTATTCCCATTCTGCGAGGGAAGTGGTCCCAGGACTCCTTGGGCCACACGGAAAAGGAGCTAGCCAAAAGCATCGAACAGTCCTTGCGTTCCGAGCACAGCGAGCTCATGACTCTTTGGACTTGTTCGTTGAGCGGCACCCTTGGTGAGTGTGGTCGATGGTTGGAGGGTTGCTTTTGCCACGAACAATCCATTGCCTTCCGAGGCAAGAGGAAGAGAGTGGCGGCACAGGGCCAGCTTTGCCCGTGGAAGGGCAGAAGGCTATGCACCCTGGCTTGGCAGGGAGGTGAGGCCTTTGTGTCCAGGCTTGAGGGCGAGGTGTCTTCTGGCACTGCGGAGTTCCAACAGAGAATGCTGACTTGTGCCCCAGAGCTGAGCAGCAAGATGTTGGAGATGAACAATTGGATTCTCGTGCATTTGAAGTCTGTCCTCCAGTCAAAGTTTGCCTGGTGCACCCGCATCCCTTTCAAGATCGCAGGAGCTTTCAGCTTGTATGTCGACAAAAGTCTTCTGGAGGTCACCGCTTTTGTGCGGTCCTGTTTTCAAGATTTCCAAGAATCACATCATGAGATGGACTTGATCAGCCGGGATCTCTTTGGCAGGGAGACAGCAGAAAGCAAAGAGCTTTGGGAGTTTTCCATGCAAGACGAGCACACCCCCAATCTTCGATCTTTGGAAAGCTTTCCTCATGCCTTTGTTGCGGTCCAAGAACGAGCCTTCACCCCACTTGCTGAGCGACATCTAGAAAGCCAGCACAAAGGCATAAAATGGGCCCTGCAAAGGGGTTTCAAGAAAGCAATGCCAGCCACCACCTGTGCCAGACAACGGAGGCGGCAGATTATGAGCATGCTGAAGTCTCCTGCCGAGAGGGAATTTGTTGTCATGAATTGGAAAACTCGAACCATGTGGTCAGACCTGCTTGGCCACGTGGTAGCCCCGATCGACATTGCCAAGATGTCCTTGGCCCACAAATTGGCACGTTGCTACTGCTACTCAAAGGAAGATCATTTCGCGGAGACACCGGAGGATGATTCAGCAGCAGCAGCTTTCTTGCTGGCGCTGCAGGGGCAAGCCAGGCCAGAGAGGACCTTGAATGCTGATATGCGACAGTGGGTTTCTTTTCTGAAGCAACAGCTGGGCAACGGCGTCCTGTGCACCTTCCCATGTGATCTCTTTGAGCTGTTGGGATCAGACACAGAGTATGCTGAGGGCATGGGTGCTGAGGAGCCTCCGTTTGAGTTGGACAACCAGACTTTGAAAGCTGGCCTGGGGGAAGCGTGTGAATTGCCCGATTTCACATCTGAGAAGTTTGTTTTTTGCCAAGTTGTTGATGCTCGGCCAGAGAACCGTGCCAAGGTGAAGCAGGGCACAGCAGAGATCGGCAGCCGAGCCACAATGCTGGTGCAGGAGTTTCCACATGTGAAGTGGTTGGAAAAGCAGCCACCAAATACTACGGTTGAGGTGAGCAAGCAAGATTCCAGGACCATTCTCTTAGACCTGGAAAGGGCATGCTATGAAGATGCATTTGTGCGAGTGATGCGGGAAGTGTGTGTGTGGAGCTGCCAAAGTGCAAAGAGAGAACTGGAGCTTCGAGGGATCGCCGCAGAGCAAGGAGATGTACCTGAGGTAGCTGATATTGTCGAGCATGAGGATCCGAATCTTCCCCCCTTGCTGGATGATGATGCAACACTGGTCGCACTCTTGGACCAGGCCAATGCTTGTGTTGCTAACGTGGTTGAACCTCGGCAAATGTCTGTCCGTGCAGCAGGCATGAATTTGAGCCAGCTCGAGCAAGATGCAGCAGTTGCTGTGGTGAGTGCCGGAGCTGTGGGCTCGGTGGCAGTCCCTGTCACAGCTGTCACCAGCGACAGGGTGAGCCTTGCCACTGTGTTGCGATTGGCCGAAAGGCGTGTTGTCCAAGTCTTCGAAGATGACTTTGGCGAATGGCTGGTGCACATTGCAGCACCTTTCCTCCTCCACATGACCTTACACTGGAAGCAACCTGTGCCCTTGTCGCATGCCCAAGTGCCTGCCCACAACAGGAGCCGTGTCCGTGGCTTGAACAAGATAGAATTTCTGCGGGGCCTTGTTCGTATGGAATGGACGTGGCCGGGACGAGGTTCTCAGCCAACACAGTTTGAGTGTGATGGCCCAAAGACAATACCCGCAAATGTTCTGTCCCGACCCGAGGCACACCTAAAGTGTTTGTTCCTGGCCCCAATGTTGTTTGGAAAGCCAGGTGGGCTGAAAGTTATTTTCCACACATGCTCTGAACAGTATTACAATTTTCTGTTGCAGACAGAGGATATGTCGTCCATTTCAGGCCTCCGTCTTGAGGACATTTCGGGTTTCTTGGCCAGCTTGAAGCCACCGAGGAAGAAGGCAAGCAGGAAGGCGATCCGGAACCCGAATGATGAAGAAAGTGAGGGAGACTTGGAGCTTCCTGACAGGCCTCACAGTCTCAGAAATTTGGAGGAGTTGCGTGAGCATCTGGCTGCCCAGGAGGAACCGATTGAACCGGCTTTGGGCAGACCAGACATCAAAGCATTGCCTCCTGTCACTTCCAGAGTACCTGAGCATGACGGCCTGAAAATTTACTTCGATAACTATACTCATCAATCTGGCAGGCTGCGGGCCTTCTGCCAATGCCCGAAGCATGGCAAGAAGTGTAGACTGTATGTTTTCGTAGACAGTCTCGGAATGGATCGAAGCATAGCCAAGCTGCTGGCTTGGGTGTCTAGGCCAGCTCGGAATGCTGAGGATCACTTGAGTTTTCGGCCATCCGAAGCTGAGATCGATGTATTGGTTCAGCGGCAAGCCATGGGTGTCTAGAAATGGAAAGGGTTGAGAAGCTGAGCAGGTTTGCAGGACATGTTTTGTGTAAAGAACAGACATTGCAAAGAAGCATGTGCCATGTGTGCGATTTTTTCAGCATGTCTGAGTTGTGTGTGTTTGAGCCATGGCATGACATGCTCCCATGTTTTCGCACCCTGCAGCTGTTTTGGGAAGATTTGTGTGAGGGTGTGCTGGGATGCCAGCCCCCAAGGGACGAGGACTGCGGCCCTAAGGTTGGGGTTAGGAAGGTAGAAGCAGGTTAGGGTGGTAGAGGCAGGAAAGGTTGAGTGATAGAGTTTTGCCCTGCCCTGAGAAGAACCAACAGCAGACCTGTAGTGGTGGCAGCAGGTGGTTTTGTGGCTGCAGACCTCAGAAGTTTGCTTAGGAAACTTCTGCAGGTGCAGCACAAAACCAGACCTCTGCCAACCAACTACCAGGTGCTGTGAAGAGTGTTAT